AGTACTTTATCCACGTACTATTTTAGATGTGATTTTTTGTTTTCAACTACGTTTAGTCTTCATTGAGTACTTAGGTGTATTAAATTGATAACATTTCAGCCATTGTTATAAATATTTTTATATATTTCGATTTTTTAACCAAATGTTCGAACCGTTTTAAATTCAAATTTGTTATTGCATATTGGTTCGATTATAGAACGATTGTAAACGTTCCAGAAAACTCATCAAATTGAAAATAGTAAGTAGGCTTGATTCTCAGCAATTCTCATTGTTCTCAGCGGTAGGTGTTATATAACAATTACTATGGTTGTTGAAATACTGAATATAAATGGGGTTTGCTTACAAAACTTCCGCGGGCAAAGTCGCGAGTAACAGCTAGTAATGAATAAAATCTTCACTAAGTCAAACCCTATTCAATATATGACGCATGACCCACTCTACCTTCCCACCTCCTGGACCTATAACCACCAAACTTAAAATAGCATGGATCAACTAATACACAAACCTCTCTGCAAACTTTCACACATTTTCAACAAAAAACACAGAAGTTACTAAGCTTCAAAGTGGATAAACAAAATAATGTCCCACCACACACACACTAACATCCATACATATAGGGGAAAAACCCAAATTTTTTTGCATTTCTTAATGTTTCAAGGTCCCGAGTCCAAAAATGTGAAAATCTTGGGGGTCATTTTTCGATCAATCACAATACTTTCCCTCTGTTATATATAACAACCAGGTAAGTAAAATGAATATTTGAGGCCAATAAGATTCCCAATACTGCTACAAACAACTAGTAAACTGAAAAAAAATTAATGAATTTATACTTTATTTGAACTATAAAGTATTGCAATGACCATTCCATGTCTGGGCACATTTTTGTTTACAATTTTTTGATGTGAATTGAGGCTATAGAAAATAAATTTGATTATACATTGCCAACACAGGCCAATTTTTGAAGCTATCATTTTGTCAATATTGAGAGTTTCCCAGAAAAATTTAACTTTTCAAAAATAGCAAATTATGGAATGGTGATAAATGACAAGACAGTGGCATTCAGGCAAAAATTTCGATATCATGCACACTTTTGAAAAAGTTTACAACTATCATCTTTGTATTTAAATAATTACAAAATGACTTAAAAATCAAAGGAGACATAAATTAGACAATATAAAACTTTTGAATATATAATAGCCACTCTTCACTTAAAAGCATAGGATACACATTTTAGTAATAAACTGTTTTAATCTATATACTGTATATGTTATGGCCAATATCTGAAGTCTAGTCAATTTGCAAAGTGGCTGGCCATTTCTAGCTTGCCACTTGATTTGGCAAAGCCCAAAATATACGAGAATTTACGACTACTTTGGGCTTTGGTCAGCCAATCTGCGATGCACCCGAGAATCAATGACCAGCTCAAGAATTGTTCAAGAAAAAGTGGTAAAACTAGAAGTTTGCAGAGCTGAATCATTTACTTAGGGGAGTTCTATCTCGAGTCAATAACACTGAAAATCTCTTTAGTTTAGTCAAAGTAGAAAAGAAAAAAAAAATGTCTTTTCATTTGAAAAAAACAAAAGAAATATTTTCAGTAAACAGTTTAAAAAACACAAGAAAGAAAAAGTGGCTTCAGTTGTAGAAAAAACACATCTGCAAAGATAAGATCTCTTTAAGTACAGCTGAAAAATTTCATCAAGAAAAATAGTCTTCAATTACATTTTAAAGAAATGGCTAATGAATTTACACATTAAAAAAATACATAGAAAACACCAAAATGTCTCGATTTTCGCCATGTTCAATCTGTGGAACAACAATCTTCCACTCAGAAACGACCTTTTATTAGAGGCTACAACTCTGCCAAAATATGCAAAAACAGTTTTAAATGTTCACAGGTGACAAGACAAAACAAATCAAGACTAAAATGTCTTAAATTTCACCACGTTCAATCTGCAGGAACATTTTTTTAAAAAGAAATTATTTATTTTTTAAAATAATTTCTTTTTAAAAAGTGACTAACTTTTTAAAACTGCTTTTGCACATTTTGGCAGAGGCGTAGCCTCTAAGAAAAGGTCATCTCTGCAATGTTGTTCCTGCAGATTGAACATGGTGAAATTCAAGACATTTTAGTCTTTTCTAGGTATTTTCTTCAGTTACAGTTGAAAAATCGCATCATTAATTACTTAAGGAAAGAATCTCTTTAGTAGGTTTCTCATTTATCGGTCTTTTGCTTGTCCGAGGATTCCGGAAAAAAGTGAATTATATCCGGGATCCTGGTAAACACCCAGGACTGGTATGTGGATTGAATCGTACCATTAACTGTTTTCAATTCTATGAAAGATGTAGGTCCTTTGATTTCATGTAGTAAAAGACAAAGATAATAACACTCAGTATTATTAGGGTGGATGGTATATACCCAGGGTGGCCAAGCTCCTTGATAGTCCGAGCCATTTTTCAAAATTTGAAATTTTTTGCGAGCCGCAATTAAATACGTATTAAAAAGGTATGCAAAAAATTCAAGATTACAAATTATATCCGTAGCAAGAGTGATACAAATTGTTTCTTCCAGAGCACAATGTCAGCTGTCCATTGCAATGACAGTTTACAAATTCAAAATCGGTCTGGAGTCGGTCGATAACGGACGATTACGCCACTGTTTATGTTCGTTCACACAGTTTTCAATGAGTCATATCATTCTTAACTTGGACGGAAATGAAATTTATTACAACGTTGCACTTAATCTTTCATATTTGTTGTTAGTAATTTAAAAGACGTTTTGAAACACATACGAAACGATAATAATTTTTTAAAATATAATAATACAAAAATAAAAAGGGAACTCGGGTACATTTATCGAGAGCCACAAATAATCCTTCAAAGAGCCGCATGTGGCTCGCGAGCTGCAGGTTGGCCACCCCTGGTATATACCCTGCCTAAAGTCTGATCTTCTTTTACACCCGGCCAGCCATTGACATCATTACCAAGTTTTCTTCTCTCAAATCTGTTATTTTTTCCATACATAGAAAGAGGGAACTTCAACACAAAGAAGTGTTTTTGCAAAATTATCGGTTTTGCATAAAATAGACTCGCTGGCCATTTTCCAAATGCACAGTGAGAAGAAAAACTGGAAGGAACCTCTCATGGATGGGTAAAGCCAGAATTCTCCACACAGCCTTGGAGCTGCTGATGTATCGCCCACTTTCATAGAGTTCGACTTCATCCTTTTCATTTTTAAAGCCAAATGTTGCTTGATCACTCCCTTTATTGACATATTTACATATGTATTTTATAGACTTTACAGAGTTACAGTACTCCATGTTAATATGAGCACCGAAAGTACGTGAAAGCACAGGGTTATATGGCACTACCCAATAGTTATCAAGGGTCACACTATTGATTTCAACAGTGAAACCACCATCTCCTGGGGCTATTCGTCGATACTTTGGGTATCCATCTTCTCCTGTTTGAGTTTCTTGAAGGAGAGGTCGAGGTAACTTCTTAGTGCAGCTACCTTCTTTCATACAGGGTGATCTGTTATTTAAATTACCGCAAGGCCCATGTATCATATTGCCTTTTATAATTTCATGAAGGAGAGGATCTTTTGCAGGGTCTGGTATCTCTGCACAAATAACACTATCTAATTTATCTGGAGAAATACGTTACTGTAGCCACAACAAAATGTGTATATGAGGCAAACCACGCTTTTGCCATTTGACAGAATATATAAAACAACGCACTCTCCAAACAAATTCCCCTTTGTCAGCAGTCACTAATGCCTTAACTTTTAAGTGAAATACCCTAGCAATGATATCATGACAATCATGAGGCTTTTGTCCAGATAGTAATGCATTTTTAATATCATTCCATCGAGGATTACATGTAAATGTAATGAATAAATCAGGACGACCGTAATAGCGAACATAATACGTCATGGCGTCTTGAGTCTTTTCATGCATATATCGTGGTGACCTAGTGAAAGATGACAGAAGCACTACCATCTAACCAAGCTGAGCAACATTGGTATCTTGTATTCCTATAGCATCTCTGAGATGTATGTAACTATCGACTCGGAGTTGCGCCTGGTTGTTTCTAATAAAATTTAATCACTCTGTCTCAATTTTTACATATATATTAACGAAGTATTGACTGAAGAGAGATCGACAATATAATAAATGGTTGATTTCTGTTTATCTGATCATGATGTGGTAAGAATAAAAGCTCATTGCAGAAACGGTTTTTCGAAGAGGTAACTTTGTTTTCGGGTCAATGTGGGAGATGTCAATGGAGTAACCATCCTCACCTCGACAGAAAAGTATCGGGTATTGTAATGCATCGTACGAACAGTGAACTTCACTAATATGTTGTAATTTATTGTCATGACTTTGTAATACAATATCTCATTTATCAAACTGCTGTCCAACTATGACCAGAGCTACTTTGCTTGCCGTCAGTGCATTAAAACGTCCTCTATGAGCATTGGCTGGTTTCCTATCAGCGTGAATTACAACTTCTAAGTTTTTACAATTGTGAGGTACTTTTTCAAGAGCAGTTTTTAAACCTTTTAAGTATGGGTTATAGTAGTGCAACATCGCCTGTAATTGTTTTATCAGACTCTTTTTCACATCAGGGAAGATGCTGCATCTTAAACTTGCCTCTCTCTCATCCTCTCCAACAAAATAAATTTGTAAGAATTGAGGGGTTTTTTGAGGTAAAGGTTGCAGACTACCAATTAAGTGATACACCTGACCCTGCACTTTGAAAGTAGGCATAAATCCGTCTTCTATAACTTGTTTCGCTCCAAAAGACATCATTTGGAAGCAAGCATTATATTTCCTAATACCAATAAATCCATAAAATGAATGTGCTCAGGATGCAGGCCATGAGCAAACTATTGAGCGGCTCAGGTAGAGGCAAAATAGCTGGAAGCTGCACTTTACCGGTACTACAGCACATACCAGGTGCTTCTTTTTTAAACTTGAGGGTGTTACAGTGTAAGCATTTATGACTCATAGTGCCCAGGGATACTAATTTATCGGTTTCATAAGCTATCTTTGGGTCATATTTCATCCCGGAAAAAGTTTTAATCTTCCATGGAAGTAATCGTCTTTCTGTTCGTTTTCCTTGATTTTTATGCTCATATCTACGAACGACTGCTCTGTGAACTTCTGGATAATTTTGTTGGTAATGAGCTGCTGCTACTCTATGAACCTCTGGATGATTTTGCTGGTAATGGGCTGCTGCTACTCTATGAACCTCGGGATTATTTTTTTTGTACTTAGCTGCAGCTGTTCTGTTAACTTCTGGATTTTTTTGTTGGTATTTAGCTGCTGCTGCTCTGTGAACTTCTGGATTCTTTTGTTGGTACTTAGTAGCAGCTTGTAAGAGCTTTTTTTTTCTAATTGTGTTCGTAAATCTAGCATAACGTTTTTTAGTACGTTTCTCAAAGCTGGGTATTCTATCAGAGTTAACTGAATTAAAAATGGATGTTGACAATTCATCTTCATAAGGCAAATAAACATCAAAATGTCCATGAGACAGGTCTTGCATAGAACTAAAACGCAGTTGCTTCACGGGGTTTCCTTCTACACCAAATTTCTCATACAGCTCGCCATTGTAGTAAACTTCAAAAGTTAACGGAAATATTTGTCCCTCTGCTACTAACTCGCATAAACCTCCATAAGTATGAAATCGCGACATATTGTTGAAGTATTCAACAGAACTGCTATAATTATTTCCATCACTATCATGTGACATTATTGAAAATCATCCCAGTGACTCATCACGTAACCCACTATTTCTGCACGTACTTCTCTGGTCATCACTTGAGTGTCATACAAAACAAAGGATATTGCTCTAAAGAGGCAAGCTCCATCACTTATAATTGGAACGATGGTGTGGGGCGTCATAACACCATTTATATTTATTATTTCAACAACCATAGTTATTATGTAATTTATATCAATAACAATCTAAATGTATAAAATTATTGCGTTAAACATACCCCTTATTATTGAGAATCTTCTAATTCAATTGAACGTTTTCAATCTGACCGATTTTCTAGAATGTTTGCAATCGTTCTATAATCGAACAAATATGTAGTAACAAATTCGAATTTAAAACGGTTCGAACATTTGGTTAAAAAATCGTAATACGTAAATATTGTACATTTGGAAATTAAGTTATTACCACCAGAAACAAAAAAAATCGCATCTAAAATAGTACAGTAGAAGCCATTCTTCTGGTTAAGACTTAATGCTCTCCCTCCCCCCGCTGGGAAATTTCGAAAAATCCCTTCTAAGTTTGCATTGCCATGGCATACCCTACTAAAACGCAGTTGAAAACAAAATATTGCATCTAAAATAGTACAGTAAAAGTTGTTTTTCCGGTTAAGCCTTAATCCTTTCCCTCTCCCACGCGGGGGAATTTCGAAAAATCCCTTCTTAGCGTGCGTTTCCATGACGTACCCTAACTGTCTACCAAATTTCATCTCTTTCGGTTAAGCAGTTTGCTCTGGGCGATGATGAGTCAGTGAGTGAGTCAGTCATTCAGTCAGTCAGGACAAGCAATTTTATATATTTAGATATTTTCACTCATGTTCTATTTGCTGTTTGTCTGCTTATATCATTTTTGTATTTTGCTTATTTGTTGATATCTGAAGAAGGCCAATTATCAAAATAAATTGAAATGAATTCACATAATCACTGCAAAAAAGTCTCTTAATTACAATCAAATGAACAATACTTACATTTAAAAGTTATGCCAATGCAATTGCCTTCTTAACTACAAAATAGCAAACATATAATGTAGCTCAAGAATTTAATCTATAGGACTTCAAATTTTTTAGTATTGTCCTGCAATCTTATCATAATATGTGACCAGAGGGTCAGCACCTCCTCGGCACCCTGTCAGAAATGACACCACCGGGTCCCGATTGATCCGGAAACCGCGACGGTGATTTAATTAGAAAATAGGTCATGCAAGCAGTCGCGTGAATGTGCGAACGGATTCAGGATGGAGACCGTGTGGTAGCAAATGGGAAAGGATGCACGCAGAGACTAGGTTACTTAACAATCGTTTATTTTTAAAGGAAATTATATAATTATATACATTTTATACGTTATGTCATTAACGAGTTCGAATCAAGAAAAACGCGTCTAAATATGCCCGGGATCACAACAGAGAGAGTTCACGAGGTTCACGCGGCAATAAATACCTTTTGTAGAGGATGTTCCTGGAGTGATGATAGATTCTGTTGAGATATCCGTTGAGGCCAATAGTCAGTTATTTTTCTGGAAGGGTTCAGAAAGTTCTGGATTGGGAAAGTCAAGGTCAAGATGGTTGGGAAGGTTTGTACTCACCGGCGTTGTTGGTCGAAGGTGAAATCAAGTCAGAAAATTTGGTACAACACAGAGAATTTTTTTTAAAGACTTAAATCCACGAGGAGTGGGCGATGACTGACTTTTCGGCCATTAATTTTGATATCAGTACGATATTGCCTGGCTAAGAGGTCAGCAGATCACGGGAATGTGTTGTTTTCATCGCCAGGAAAATGAAGTGGAGATTTTCTCAGGTAGCTGAGGACAACAATTGTTGAGCAAGTATGGTGTCATCAATGATTGATTTTTGTTAAAGTTCGGATTCTCATACTATAGTGACACCTCGGTTTTCGTTGATAATCCATCTGAAAACAATCAGTGAAATCCAAAATTGACGAAAACTGAGGCAATTATTTCCATATGAATCAATGTAAATCCAATTAATTTGTTCTAGACACTCCAAAATACATACCAAAAACACATTTTATAGAGAATAAGTATAGTGTTTAATACTAAAAACAATAAGAAATAAATATGAAATGAATATAAAAGACTAATGTAAATGAACATTTAACATGGCATTCGAAGGGCTGCTGGCTCTGAAAACTTTCTTTGGTCCCATGATTGAGCTAAAAGGAAAGGAAAGCAATGGAATTGTTTGGCTTTTCTTTAACTCTTTCTGCTTAGCGGGCACTAAGAGGCGTCTTTTAGCAAGCCCATTATGGGTTAGGCCAAGCCCACAATGGGACGGCTGGGTGGTGAGGAACAGAGCCACTCCCCAAAAACTTCCTGGAGATTTTTTGACCCATCCGCATTAGATCCTGTGTACCCTAGAGCAGTAGGCTGCCACCTTTACCACTCAGCCATAGAGGTATTTGGCTAGACACGAGGGGGTAATGCTCACACAACAAGAAGCAACACCACACTTAGCAGGAAAACACATGGTTCACTGTTTGTTTTCGCAAAATTAGCAGTGAGGTCACATGGGCACACCATTGAAAACCGAAACTGACAATAACCGAAGTCAACAAAAACTGAGGTATTACTGTAATTACTTTCTGAAGTTTAAGATGATGAGACATTTAAATTCAAATAAAAACCTTGCAGCAAAGAACAAACATAAGTGATTGATTTTGAAATACAGACAGATTTTTTAGATGTCTAACACATTGCTATATGTGATGAGATTAAAGATTTTGTAAATGTTTTTTCACAAATAAAATTTTATTTCAAATACAGATGGCCCTTGACCTTTGCACATAATTTGTTCCTGAAAGTGTGCGCGAATATTGAATGTTTGAAAGCAGAGGAATGTAAAAAAATATGCACCAAAAACTGTGTTTTAAAGTATTTATTTATCAATATGTATACATAATAAAGTTAATGAGGCATGTTTAAGTGCTTTTGGGCGTTTTCTTTATAAACTTGTCACGAGTTAGTTGAATACAGTAATACCCCAAACTTACGCGATAGGTGGGACCGAGCAATAACCGCGTAAGTCAAATTCGCATAAGTCGGGGTATAATTTCGCAATTTGTGTAAAATCCAAGTCAAATGTATGTAAGCCAATAAATGTTCTCGTTAATCTTATCTCGTCTTTTGATTCGTTCACGGTTACAAGAAATCACCACATAGAGTCTCTCTAGTCTCCGTAGATATAACAAACACAGAAATAAATAACACAAAATAAATTGTAGCTATATGTTGATTCTGCGCAACACGTCCGAACACATAAGCCGAACAATAGTGTGAGGGGGAGTGAGTAATCAAGAGTTGCGTGGCAGTCAAACAAAAGACGAATCGACGAGATTTGAAAATCGCGTAACTCCGGGTTCGCGTAAGTCGGGGTAGCATAAGTCAAGGTATTACTGTACCACCCTTTTTTTCTTTCCTTGATAAAAATTTCTATAACATGCTGTGTCTTTCTCAATCGCCGTAAGTACTTGAGATATACATTCTCCATTAGGATCACATTCTTCCTTGATAGTCAAAAATTTGTCAAAATGCATGAAGGCTTTATTCATATTTTTAATTGTCAAAGTCTTGACGTTTTTATCAGCTTCTTCTTCCTCACTTTCATGTTGTTCAATTAAATATTCATTTGACAGAGGTACTGAGTGAGATTCAATCAACTCATTAACAACTTCATTGTTGACGTCCAAGTTTAGTTCATTCATTAGGCTAACTATTTCATCTGTAATAGTTTCTGGTGTTTCTTCAAAATTTATAAAATCACTCATCATTTGTAGGCATAATTGTTTCCGGGAACCTTTCATTGTCGACTCTTTTAATTCAGCCTACAAGTCTCCAATATTGTTTATTGCTTTCCATATATTATAATTCTTCCAAAAATCTGTTAATGTTGGCCCATTTTCCCTGTCAGTTGCCTTGATGACCTTAGCCATTATTGTCCTCATATAATATTGTTTAAACATAGATATCACTGTTTGGTCCATGGGCTATATGAGGCAGGTAGTATTGGGAGGAAGAAACAACATTGATTTCCAGATATAGATTCTGCAGAGATTTTGGGTGTCCTGGAGCATTGTCTAAGATTAATAATGCTTTAAATTGTAAATTATTATTTTTACAATATTGCTTAACTGTCAGCATGAAATGAAAAGTGAACCAATCTTTAAATATTAACACAGTAAGTAACCCAGGCATTTTTATTTGATTTACAAATGACTGGAAGCAATTCTTTATCTTTCCCTTTCAATGCTCTGGGATTTCCACTTGGTAAACTAACAATGGCTTTTAAATCACCAGCTAAGTTTCCACCAAGAAGCAATGTCAATCAGTTTTTGGAAGGTTTATGTCCAAGGGCAACTGATTCTTCCTTTGATAAAAATGTACGATTAGAAATTTTTTTCCAAAATAAACCCATCTCATCTACATTGAATATTTGGCTAGGAGAATATTCTCCATCTATAATAATTTTGGCCAATGAAAAAATAAATTCTTTCGCAGCATCTTTATCTGCATCAGCCGAATCTCCAGTGAATTTAATATTATGTATAGAATATCTCATTTAAAATTTGTTGAACCAGCCATTACTTGCTTGAAACACCGTGCTAGAATCTTCATTTAATCTAGTCTTCCAATCTTCATGCAAACTAAAGCCTTAGCTTGAATAATTGAAAAACTCAGAGGGACATTATTTTGATGTTGACAATCAATCCATGATGACAAAGATCTTTCCATTTCATCCATCACTATGCCGTGTCTTTTGGAAACAATCTTTGAAAATATATTTCCACAATTTTGAACGTATTCCTTAATTTTACTTTTATTTTTCAAAATTGAACATATCGTAGATCTGTTTACATACATTGTACAAATGTCCGATTGAAGCAAAAGATTCACCATTTTCAAAATGTTTAATTATTTCGATTGTATGAAGTTTATGAGTCCTTAATTTCTTTTTGTTTGTATCAACACTGCAGTTTCTCTGTTTCTCACTCATGTTTATGAATTTATAAGAACAAAATATTAAAACAAACAAAAAATTTAGCAAAACACACAACACATTGATGCACACCCTAATGCAAGACTGAAACTGTTTTGACCTCTTGCTCAGAACAACACAGTAGTAATTATAATTCCGAGAAGTCCACTATTGTAGGAAGTAATCTATGTCCGAGAACGTAGAGTGAGCTACTGCACTTTGTAGTGTATGAGTAAATTTTTTCATTATCAACAAAAATATTTTAAAAGTTGAATTTTTAAAAATGTATGAAAGTTGAGGGCCACCTGTATATGTTTACATATTAAAAGTTTGAAAACTTATCAAAATAATCAATTTAAATATAAGAGATCAACAAACTTTTCACTTTCTTTAGATTGCTAATAGTAAATGCAGGATACCATCAATACACAAAATACAGATTGTGGTACTTACGAGATACCACAATGGGTCAAATAAGTCTTATGTCAGTTATGCAAGCTCTTGGAATATGTATGTTCTGCAAAAATCTCAGAAACATTCAACCAATAGAATTGGCTGTACTGTTAATTGTAATAAGCTTGTATATAATTAGACGGTCCACACTGCTAATGGAATCTCATTAAAGATCATCTTTTTACTTTCCTGGCTGTTAAATATAACAGAGGAAAAGTATGGTGATCAGTCAAAAAAAATGACCCCCAGATTTTTACATGTTTGGGCCTTGAAATGTCTAGAAATGCAAAAAAATTCAAGATTTTTACGTATGTATGGGTGTGTGTGTGTGTTGGGGCAGCACAGTTTTGTTTACCCTCTTTGAAGCTTAATAACTTCTGTGCTTTTTGTTGAAAATTACTGAAATTTTGCAGGGAGATTTGTTTATTAAGAGGATTGATACTATTAAATTTTGATGATTAAAAGTTGAGAAGATGGGGAGATAAAGGGAGTTGTATGTACCTCCAGTAGTGTCAGTAATTTTACTTTATATTAGCATTTTCAACTATTTTATAAAACTCATCCCTACCCTCAAAATTAAGCTTTTTGCATTTTTATAATATGTAGATTTTCATCCAATGGCAATTATATTATAAATAAATATCTGAAGGCAAAGTCTGCCCAAAAGGGACCACATTTTTTACATTTTCCAGCACTCATTTCCTCGTAGATAAAAAGCCAAAGCACCCCCAAGAAAGTATGGATGAAAACCATGAAGACGTCCATATGTCACCAGCTTCTTTTTAAAAAATTTTGTATTTTTAACTGGATATATTTTTTGTGTTTTTAAAACGACTTTTTAGCTTTTTTGGCAGCCAGTGGCCTAAAAAGAAAGGTCAGTTGCCAAGAATATGTGTAGTCTGGAACAGGAAGTTAATAAACTGTGATTCCTTTTGAGCGAACTTTGTCTTCAGATATTTATTTACTTTTATAATAGTTAAAAATATAAAAAATTTTTAAATAATATATCATAAGAGATGGCAACTCATTAGATTTTTTTTGTTGTGTTTATTAAATAGTAAATCTAGGTAATTATATGATTCCAATTTATAATGAATCTTCATATGAGAAAATCTTATACTATTATATGCAATATTAATGTCCTTTGTTGCTCCTGTAAAATTGATTTTTGGTGCTTACAAGGTTTTCATGTGCCAATGATGATATTCAAACTTTCTTTTTAAATTTAATTTCTAGAAACTGATACAGGGTTTTCCATTAAGGGTGCTCAAACTTCAAATTTAAATAAAACAAGTTATATATGAAATATTATTAATTTTATTTTTTTACTTGAAAGAGTATTCAATTACATTATGTATGGAATATAATATCGGCGTATCCAAGAGATCCAATTTTTGATGACTTGATTGCATAAATTGGGCTCAATGTCATTGATGGAATTGGTTATGTTAACTATTAAGGCATTAATCATCTGCAACTTATTCGCATAGACCCGCAATTTAATGTAGCCCATAAGAGAAAGTCTAATGGCATTAAATCACTCAATGTTGGTGGCCAGTTGGCATTGCCAAAATGCAAGATAACCACGCCGTCGAATTTGTCATGCAGAAAATCCATTGTTGCATGCACTGTGTGGCAGATGGTACTGCAGTGCGTCTTGTTGGCACACATCATTGAGATCTATATCTTCCAATTTAAGCCACAAAAAATTGGATATCATTGACCTGTATCTCTCACCAGTAACAGTTATGGTCATTCCAGCTTTATTTTGGAAGAAGTATGGGCTAATAACCCCAACAAACCAAAATCCATACCAAACAGTGGCTTTTTCTGGATGCATTTTAGTGATGTGCCGGATCGTTAAAAATGTATATCCGCGGATACGGATACGGATACGGATCATTCGTGTCTAGATCCGCGGATACGGATACGGATACGGATCTCAACTTTCGTACTCAGTCAGCGCCGGTGCGTGTGACCTTGGACCGATAGTTGACGCTTTGCGTTAATAACGCGACGTGTTTTGACTTGCACTGCGCGTGTTTTTGTTTATGGTGTAAAAATGTGCTAAATTAGAATTCACCACAAAGGCAGACAGGATAAAGTAACAAAAGTTAATATAATTTTCCAATTGAGCTTTTTTGCGTCTTTATACAGATTCTATTTCGGGGGATTCCAACTTCACGGTACAAACAGTAGCATGCGAAATTACAGCGATAATAATAGTTCGCTGTATCCAAATCACGTGTACAATACAGATCCCGATCGCGACAATATAACCCGGAACCTTAAAACTAACCTTAAACACTAACTTAACACTAATAACAGAAAAAGGGATAGAATTAAGAAGACAGAAAAAATGATAGATAAGATAGAAATAGAGATATCTGGGGTTTTGTCCCTTTTTTCGGCTTGTTTCTTTATGCATACTGTTGGGTGGGATAACACACGCCCTTCTCTTATAACTGGCCAGTTCTCTTCTTCAATAATTAGGATTTTTTCTTCCACAGTCGTCAATACGACCTTAAAACACGATCTTTTTTCTGAACTATCCGGTCATTGAAAATACGACTCCCAGTATTCTCACCTCGTCCGTACACTCTGCTGTCCAGTTTACGAATGATCTGCTACGTCACTTCTTTTTTTTCTCCGGCTTCTGTTTACACCTTTGCTCCTCAAAGTTCTAGGAACTGCTTATCCCAGCCAAGGGACAGAGAATAGATAAGAAAGTTTTAGAAGAAAATAGAACAATAGAACAAAGGGTAGAAAGAAGAAACGAAACTAAACTAAAATTAATATTTACAAAAATATAGCGTACCGCCACAATAGTTTAGTGCAGTGTTTCCCAACCTTTTTTTGCTATGCCCCACCTAAGCCTTTCTAAAATTCTAGTCTCCCTAACATATACAGCGGCTATACTGTTAACTTAAACTCTGGACAAGTACAAGTCCATTTTCGAATTGCCCTCCTTAGCAATCCAATTGCTCCCTGTGGGGCGTGGGCCCCACGTTGGGAAACACTGGTTTGTGGCTAGTGTGACACGGGATAGCGTAGATTACGTTTGTGTTTTTGGAGAGTGTTGAGTTAAATTAAAATAAAAACAATGCCGACAAAAAAATTTAGTAGTGTAATATGGAAATATTTTACGATAGTAAATGACGAATGTGCTATTGCTACCTATCTTTAAAATTTCATATAAGTAATGAAATTCATTAAGATAAAAGATCCGTTAAAGATCCGCTAAAAAGTAACGGATACGGATACGGATACGGATACGGATACGGATTTTTTTTTTCCCTCGGATATCCGCGGATACGGATACGGATACGGATATCCGGCACATCACTAATGCATTTGCAACTGATGGGTCTCATGTAGATTGTTATGTCCCCAAATGCGACAATTTTGCTTGTTGACATATCCATTCATCCAAAACTGGGCCTTGTTGATGAAGATGATTTTCTGTCCAAAATTAGAGTCTACTTCAAACTGCTCATGAGCTGTCAGCGAATGCTCAACGTGGCCTATGGTTGTTTACCTTCAGTTCCTGGCCAACTGAATTTTGTACAGTTGTAGGCCCACGTCCCAATGCAAAGTTCACAAAGTTGATGTCTGTGAAAGGTCAAATTCTTGGGCGCAACAAGAAATTGAATGCAGTGGGTTATCCTGAACTCTCGTTCACTGCAGCAATGTTTTCTGCAGACCTCACGTTTCAACGATGTACGGGTGTTGTTTGATTATTACTGAACCAGTTGATTCAAATTTGTCCACCAAACGACGAATAGTCGACTCAACAGGATGATTGTGTACACCGTAAAAATCACATAGCACACAGAACGTAGCTCAAACTAAGCACTCATTTTGGTAATAAAGTTTAATGATTTGCATGCGTTACTCAACACTGTAACTTTTCATGAAGATTTGCTGAACATTAATTACTATAACCTCCAAATTAGACAGCTGTAGCTTCACTAACATGGCTGCTATACACTGTCAAAGTTTGAGCGCCCCTAGTGGAAAACCCTTTATATCATTTCTATTGACAAATATTTGATAAAAATTACATCTAAATCAATCCATTTCAATATAAATAAGGAAGAAGCAATTACAATTTCTAAATAAACTGATACAATAATCAATAAAACAATTTTTATTTTTTAAATCTGAAATTTTATTCACTTACCATTTTCAAAGCAAGCTTGGCTCCTCCATCTTCAGATACATTCAATTGGTTAAATTCTATAAAAGTTAAAAAAACTACTGTTTAGATTATGCAAAATTTCAATTCCAATTTGTTAAAAATATATAAATTAAGTTTCTTGTACTGAAGACAGTCAAATAACTATGAAAACGTTAATCAAATAAAATTTTAGACTCCTTCCCTTTACTTGCTATCAGGATTAGTACTTAGATATTTAAAAATGCACTTTAAATAATTTCCTTTCATTAATCCTGTTAGAACTCAAGCATACTAACAAGGGTAGGCTCAGAAGTGTATTTTATATACAGTGGAACCTCGCTTAACCTTGCCATCCGGACCTGAGTTAACTCGGGAAGGTTCCATAGCGTTACAAAAAACCGGTCTTTTGGACCCTCCGAAAAAAAATTTTTTTTGCATGTTTTTTGTCTCCAAATTTTTCAAAAATTTTTATCATGATTTTAATCTACTTTAATGACGCACTTAATTGTTTTTTAATGGGATATTTTTTAATCAAATTTCATTCATCGTTCTAAAGTTCTAGTGCATGGATTTTACTTTGGTAAAGTTATTTAAAGCTAGTTTCTGATGTCAAAAATGACCTCCAATAATTTTTTAACTTTTTTTTAATTAATATATTTTATTATATATACGTTTAATTAAGTCAGAGGGGGTCGGAAATCACAATAAAAAATGTAATTTTTGAAAAATATTTAAAAATTTACAACCAGCTAGTATTCACCCTACTTTAAACCCTTCTCCTCCTGAGACTATGAGACCATCTATGAGAATGTCCCGGGAAATCCAACACCAGCTGTTCTCAAGGTCATTCAGCTGTAAACACAATGACTCATTGGTGTCAAATTTCGCAGAAAGGCAAGACAATGGAAAATAAAGTTTGAAGCTTTTTCTTCAAAATTAATGCATTTCTTTTGTTTTTTTTTTCAGTTTTAAGTATTTTTTGATGTTTAATTAAAAATTCCTAAATGAAAATTCGGGTAACAAGTGGTTAATAAGCATAATTCGTTCCAGAATCTTACTAGCAATGTGAAACACTTGTTAAGTGAAACAATTTTTCCCATATAAATTAACGTAACATATGATAATGCATTCCTTGCCAAAAAACTTACTCAAATGTTTTATGTATAACATTTATTCAAAGAAAATTATAGAATATACATTGTTAAGGACTGTGAATCATGATAATCTTTTCTTCTAGCATGGAACGAACCAACCTGGAATGTGAATTTGATTTGCAGGAAAAAAAAAATCAAAATTTAATTTAGAATTGGGAATTAAATTTAATACAAGATGGCAGCATAACTGCCTACCTCTAGTCAAAATATTTACTTTCTAGTATTCAATTATAACCTTTACATAGCCCAAGAATTTGGCATATTTATTATTAATTAATACATAATGGGCAAGGGGTGTTGATGTTTATATGTAATGTCTGAACACAAGTTTGGAAAAATGTGTGATTACAAGTGACACTTGTAAGATGTTAGCGGAACGAGTGCTAAATAAAGACTGATGTAGCATGTGCACAATCCGGGAGTCTCCTCTTCTTGTCACTCATTATGCAAAATGTTGCTTGTTAAGCGAGCCATTTTTTTTACAATTTATTTTGCTTGTTATGCAAATTACTCATTACGAGAATAATGTTATGCATGGTTATGCAGATGTTGATCCAAATATGTAAAATATACTTCTGAGCCTATCCTTGTTACTCTGGAGCACTAAAAAGTGTCTTTGTAAAGAGCTACAGGTTCCACTTCTGCATTTTATTGAAGAAAATTACCATTTTAAGTCATGACAATGGATTACTTTTGGACCTGAGAAATTGATATATATTGGAAAAAAACGCAAAGTTTTACAGGTTAGTATGATATTAAATTACAAGATAACACATGACTAAATTGTATCTTGACACTCTCACAGATTGTAAAGTAAGTTTACATTGTGTCTTTTTTCTTGAACTACTGAATAGGAACTATAAATTAAAAACAGTTCAAAATGCATATAGTGTAATTTAAATATTTCTTCTATTAATAGTAAAGAATTATTGAAAGAATTGAAGTAACTGTTTTATTTTTAAATTATCCTGTTTTGGTTATTTTTGTATATATTTTTTAAAAAAAGCAAATACTAGTACTTTTTATGTACCTATATGACATCTGAAAACTAGTAGTTTTTTGGCAAATTAGCAATTTTTGATTTCAACTGAAGCTCCTCAGGTAGGTGTGAACCCATGAGTATAGAATCCTTGGTTGTATATACTACCTCCTCAACAATTCCTATTGTTTACAGACAACATTTGAGGTATTTCAGTCAAAATAAAAAAAAAAAATGCTAATTTTCTTAAAAACTATTAATTTTACAACATGCATACATGAAAATTACTATATATCTGTGCAGATAAGATGATAATTGAATCATAAAAAAAATGCCCCCAAAATCCAGGGTCATCTTATAGGACAGATAAATAAAAATTTAGATGAAATTTATATAAATTAAAACCATTATAAAAAGTGGACAAACTGTAATTATTTACTAGTAGAGAGAAGGTATGTGCACAAAATAGAATAGCCCATATGATGTTTTTGTGAATAGTCAAGGTCACCCAAATGCCCGAATCAGTGCAAACGTTTGCAACAATAGCAAGGCAGTGCTGCCAGATGCAAGAAAATAAAATTTGTTCATTCGAAAAATAACGAATTGGACATAATTCCGTATACACTATACAGTGTTATTATCCAAACGATGATTGCTGATCTAAACTAAATTCATAGGCCATTGTAGTTTGGGGGTTGTCTTATAGGACAGATATATGCTAAAACTATAAAACTTCGACGAAAATTTATACCTTGTCTTGTCTGCGCAGTTATATGGTACTTGTTTTTCAGTATCTATGTCTTTACAGTAAATGACAGCCTATTTTTTAGCACCTCTGAATAACCATGCAATGGCTAATCCAAATCCATAAAATGTGTTTCTGAACCTTCCCTTATAAGTAGAAAATTATGTATACTATGCCATCAGATGACACTACTGGTATAATATCAGTTAGATTAGCTTCAAAATTACATCATTTACATTTGAATTCTGTAACATAGTTTTCTTACTTTAACTTATCTGACTTGCTCTTATTGATTGTAATATTTGGTAACATAACTATGTAATATGGATGCTTTATAGTACAGATGTATATAAAATCACTTTAAATCTAAAAATTGGTTGATTTTCCCACAGAAACTCCAGTTTGGTGATTTAAGACTTTATTATATAAATTTAATATAATATAATTATATAATAATACTAGCTGTTACCAGCGAGTTCGTCCGTGGAGGTTTTGCAAACAAACCTCATTTACATTCAATATTTCAATAACCATAGTAATTGTTAGGTCTATATAACACCTACCGCTGAAGAGAATTGCCGAGAATCAAACGAACTATTTTCAATTTGATCAATTTTCTGGAGCGTTTACAATCGTTTTATACTCGAACCAATATGCAATAACAAATTCAAATTTAAAACGGTTCGAACATTTTTAAAATCGAAATAGATAAAAATATTTATAACAATGTCTGAAATGTTATCCATTTAATACACCTAAGTACTCGATGAAGACTAAAACTTATCCCTCTCCCGCCCGTGGGAGAATTTCGAAAAATCCCTTCTTAGTGTGCATTCTCATGACATACCTTACTACAACACAGATAAAAACAGAAAATCGCATCTAAAATAGTATAGTAGAAGCCGTTCTTCTGGTTAAGCCTTAATGCTCTCCCTCACCCCCAGTGGAAGAATTTTTAAAAATCCCTTCTTAGTGTACATTGCCATGACTTACCCTACTAAAACGCAGATAAAAACAAAAAATCGCATCTAAAATAGTACAGTAGAAGCCGTTCTTCCGGTTAAGCCTTAATGCTCTCCCTCACCCCCCTGCGGGGGAATTTATAAAAATTCCTTCTTAGTGTGCATTGCTGTGGCATACCCTACTAAAACGCAGATAAAAACAAAAAATCCTTAATCTTTCCCTCTCCCCCCGCAGGGGAATTTCGAAAAAATCCCTTCTTAGTGTGCGTTTCCATGACGTACCCTAACTGTCTACCAAATTTCACTTCTCTAGGTTAAGCGGTTTGTTCTGGGCGATGATGAATCAGTCAGTCAGGACAAGCAATTTTATATATTTAGATACGAGGGCTGTTCAGAAAGTTCGCAGCCTCAAATAGAACAACAAACAAAATAATGTTAAAACTTTTTTTATTTTTCAATGTAGTCTCCTTTGTTAGCAATGCACTTATTCCAGCGATGTTCTAGCTTTTTTATGCCATTACAATAGGTCGATTTGTCAAGGTGTGCAAAATATTCGTTTACTTCAGAGATGACTTTGTCATTTGAGTGGAATCTCTTTCCAACCAAGAATTATTTTAAATTTGGAGAAAGGTGGAAGTCACTGGGGGCCAAATCAGGTGAGTATGGTGAATGTGGAACTAATTGGAAGCTAAGTTCGTTTATTTTTCGTTCAGTGATTCTGGCATTATCGTGGTGAAACAGAACCTTCTTCTTCAAGTGTGGCCTCTTCAATTTCTTTCTTCAGTTTTTCCAAAAGTATACAGTAATAGACAGCATTGATGGTCTTTCCTCTTTCTAGGTAGTCAATAAAGATGATTCCTTTAGCATCCCCAAAAAACCGAGGCCATCACTTTCCCCGCTGATGGAACTGTTTTTGCCTTCTTTGGTGGTGGCGAACTTAGAGTAGTCCACTCGACCGTCGCAGTGCATTCAACATCACATAGTTTTAGAGCATGCGAAGGCTCACTCCAAGCCGGCAGCAGAGTGCACAATCACACGTGAAGCACGGAGACCGGGCAGTATACCGATACACGGTAAAGACTGACCATTGCAGGAGAATTATCTCACGAAAGGTCGCACGCGCAAGTACGGTTCCCTTGACTATTTTGCTCGTACAGTACGAGGGTCTACAATTCTGTGGGTGGAAAACCCCTCATTCAGAGTTTACATCTTACCCTTCAAACAAAAAATACATTAAGGAAAAATTTCATAAAATTTATATAAATATATACTCGATTTTATATTTATGTACGAGTGTAACTTAATTTTAGTATATACAATAAATAATTTACGGTCATTAACTTATTTATTGCACAATTAAATTATAATATTCAAATGCTTACCTGTCAATAGACGATAATCAGACAGTAATTTCTTTCCGCATCTTTATTTAAATTACATCAACGTTAATTAAATTACAAATCGAATCGAACGTCGTCTAATACAAGTTTAATAATTCAAAAAAAAAAAAAAATCAAGAGCGAAAGGAAAAAATCGCAAAAACCAAAACAAGTCAGAATTTGTTTTCAACCATCGTCAGCCATCACTCGACCGTAACGCCACCTGTAAAAGAATAATACTCTATATAAATTTATAAAACGTAAATTAAAATGACTGTATTGGATACAATTATAAAAATTTAATTTTATTAAAATTGTAAATTATATTTCTGTATCGTTTATAATATATTTATTTATAATTAAATTATAGTTTCGTACGTATATGAGTAATCGATTTTCGTATCGTTTGGTATAGAGTGGATGTCGAAAGCATCGATGTTGTATGGTCACTCGACGTATTTTTGTTTACAAATGAAAAGGAATAGATCCGCATAAATTTCGATAGGGAAATCGTTTTTGATTTAAACATTACAAATGTTTGAGTCGTGTTATGACGGATGGTAAGAATTTTCAAGTTATCGAGAGTTTTAATAAACGAGATTATTATGAGTTCGTTTAAGAAACCGAGAAGGATGAACAAACATTTGCCAGACGAAGAAAGACTTATTTGGGTCGATTTGGAGGTAATTTTAATAGCTATTAAGCGTTAATTTACTTTAAAACACATAGAAATTGCTTAAAATGCATAACTTTATGTCATTCTATTCGAGTTTTTTTTAAATGTTTAAATGTGATTTTTTTCTATATTTTGATAGGGAAGAAACCTTAAGCCAAGCTTAATCTTATTAATGTACAGTACACTTAATCCTTTTTTTGGTGTAAATGTTATAAATTATTACAGAATATTTAAGTGGAAAATAGTTTATTAATTTCTGATGTTTCAATCAAGTTTCTGGTTGGTTTTTTTTTTACCTTTATTTACTGATTTGGATATGTTTCTAGTTTTAACTCTGTTTAATCGATTAAAATTCATAAGTTATTTGCACTAAATGACATGCTTCGTGAAGAGATTTTGATGGAAAATGCTTCAAAACTTTTTTCGAGTGTACTGAAAAGTGGACTTTGTTACTAACTAAATAAACCTTGTGTGATAATTTCTAAAGGTTCCGTCTGCATATGAATTTTTCTTTTTGTAAACTTTATGATGGAATTGTATTGAAATGTTTTTTGCCAGAAATGAAAGTTGTTGAATCTTCCCTTAAATTTGGCATTAGAGGGTGTGTCAGATTTAAATATCCTTTATTATTATTATGATAGTTCGTTTGTAACTTCAAAATAAAATAAAACATTTCTTATTATTGTAATAGTTAAATTGCCTTTTTGAATTAATATGAAATACTAATCTTATTTCATGTTAAAGTGTGTCTTTAAAAAATTATAAATCGGAAATTATTTATTTTACATTTTAAGGAAACGGTTATATTTTTAATCTTATAATAAGGTTTTAATTCTGATTTTGTAAGAAATGAAAAAGGAAAAACAATTTTTAATGTTTTCTGTTTTGTTTGTTGGTTTTATTTCATTGGCACTTATATGAAATGATTTGAACTTAGTTTCAAAATCTATAAATTTTATTTTTACAATTATTTCAAATTTAAATTTATATTTTTGTGATTGGATATTGGAAATGCCATTCACGTTTTATAAAAATTTGCATTTATATAAAATATCATACATCTTTTCATTAGAAGAAAATTAAACTTTCCAGAATCTCTAATATGACTTTTTAATAAAAAGAAATATAGAAAATTTAATAATACCAAAAAATATTTTTGAAATTTAAATAAAACTTACTTTACAATATTTTTTCTTTTATTGCTATTTGCTACAGAAATAATACAAATTTTGTTTTAAATTTTTCATTCTAATATTTATCATTATTATATTTATTTTGCTAATGGTACTGTTATATTTTATTTACATATAATTGCTTTTAAATTATATTACTGTATATTTAAAAAGATTTTTAGTATATAATTTTCTAAGTATTTAAAATATTAATAGATGTGCCTGCCAAAGTTCATATAAAATAGTAAAATGGATGATTGATGTAAAAAGATTAGTATTAAGAATGGCAATTTATCAATGTTTGGAAACCGGTTTAATACTTTGTCAGTTACTTTAAGTCAGTGGTGATATTCAGCGGGTTCGCACAGGTTCGGCTGAACCCGTTGTTAACATTTTCAAAGTTTTTCGAACCTTGTTAAACACACGTAACATTTCTCAGTGGTTTTGTTTCTTTTAAAAAATATATTAAAATATACGTATTATACTCTGTAACACTACTAAACTAGAGCCTTATACCACGTTTGTCTGGTACGACCTCCCTCGACCGTTTCAGTCGAGATTGAAACTGTCGAGGGAGGTCGTACCAAGGGAGGTTCAATCGCGATCGACTCAAGAGAGTTCTTGAAACTAAATCCAGTCATAAGAGAGATCCCACAATCCCACGTGTGTGAGAAAATACAAGATGGCTGCGGAACACGTGTCGTAATAAAATATATACAAAATAAACCATTTTGAACACTTTTTTATTATTTATAAAAAAAAAAATATAGCTCTGGCATAAACAATGTTAAATTTTAACTGACTTAATTTTGTGAACGCATCTTTTTTATTTATATGGGTATCTTAAGGTCAGTTTTTGCGCTAATGTTGCTAATGCACCATTTGAGCAAAAAAAAAAAAACGTGTTAAGAAAAAATTTTCTGTTAGCGAACCTTTTGTTAAATATTTCGAATATTACCACTGCTTTAAGTGGATGTGAGGATAGTTATCAAATGCTACATTGTCAATAGGACATTTGTATTCTCAGATGTTAATGCAGTAAACATTCCATGAATGCAAATAATTGTTTCCACCAAACATGTAGTCTACATGGAGCCATGAAAGCTGTTTGAAATAATGATTTGTTTCATCTTAGCTACTGTGTTTTACTCTCACAGGGTAGAAGTTTTAGCTATACTCTTTTTTAAATACATGTTTAATAAAAGATTACTTAAAAGAAAAACACTTTTTGATGTAGCTATCATTTATTTGCTTAATGTTGATTTATTTAAAATTATCCTCATTTTATCTTTTTCACTCTACATATACAGTAAGTCTGCTTTTATACCTTTTTTTACAATAGCGCTCAAAATGTAAAATACTGTATTCCTGCAGAATATGAACAATATAAAGTTCAGATGTAGACAAATTCCAAAAATTGAATGAATAATCTATATTCCACAAATTTTCCGAACAACAAATTCTCAAACCAAAGACTAATTTGCATATTAGCATGTAATATTAAATACTATATGGTATGTTTGATTTCTTAAAAAATAGTTATTCTGACTTTACAGAAGAAAAAATATTTTAAAATGTTATTGAAACAAATTAATCTTAAATTTTGCACAAATCAAAGATTAAATTATTTCATTCAGTCATCCATTCAAATTTGTCTAAATTGTTTTGTAAGCAATGTGATAGAGCGTGATGGATACATGAGAATGAAAAATGGCATGCAGCATGACAAGTAGGAGGAAAACACATAAGTACCCGTCGAAAGCATCGATGTTGTATGGTCACTCGACGTATTTTTGTTTACAAATGAAAAGGAATAGATCCGCATAAATTTCGATAGGGAAATCGTTTTTGATTTAAACATTACAAATGTTTGAGTCGTGTTATGACGGATGGTAAGAATTTTCAAGTTATCGAGAGTTTTAATAAACGAGATTATTATGAGTTCGTTTAAGAAACCGAGAAGGATGAACAAACATTTGCCAGACGAAGAAAGACTTATTTGGGTCGATTTGGAGGTAATTTTAATAGCTATTAAGCGTTAATTTACTTTAAAACACATAGAAATTGCTTAAAATGCATAACTTTATGTCATTCTATTCGAGTTTTTTTTAAATGTTTAAATGTGATTTTTTTCTATATTTTGATAGGGAAGAAACCTTAAGCCAAGCTTAATCTTATTAATGTACAGTACACTTAATCCTTTTTTTGGTGTAAATGTTATAAATTATTACAGAATATTTAAGTGGAAAATAGTTTATTAATTTCTGATGTTTCAATCAAGTTTCTGGTTGGTTTTTTTTTTACCTTTATTTACTGATTTGGATATGTTTCTAGTTTTAACTCTGTTTAATCGATTAAAATTCATAAGTTATTTGCACTAAATGACATGCTTCGTGAAGAGATTTTGATGGAAAATGCTTCAAAACTTTTTTCGAGTGTACTGAAAAGTGGACTTTGTTACTAACTAAATAAACCTTGTGTGATAATTTCTAAAGGTTCCGTCTGCATATGAATTTTTCTTTTTGTAAACTTTATGATGGAATTGTATTGAAATGTTTTTTGCCAGAAATGAAAGTTGTTGAATCTTCCCTTAAATTTGGCATTAGAGGGTGTGTCAGATTTAAATATCCTTTATTATTATTATGATAGTTCGTTTGTAACTTCAAAATAAAATAAAACATTTCTTATTATTGTAATAGTTAAATTGCCTTTTTGAATTAATATGAAATACTAATCTTATTTCATGTTAAAGTGTGTCTTTAAAAAATTATAAATCGGAAATTATTTATTTTACATTTTAAGGAAACGGTTATATTTTTAATCTTATAATAAGGTTTTAATTCTGATTTTGTAAGAAATGAAAAAGGAAAAACAATTTTTAATGTTTTCTGTTTTGTTTGTTGGTTTTATTTCATTGGCACTTATATGAAATGATTTGAACTTAGTTTCAAAATCTATAAATTTTATTTTTACAATTATTTCAAATTTAAATTTATATTTTTGTGATTGGATATTGGAAATGCCATTCACGTTTTATAAAAATTTGCATTTATATAAAATATCATACATCTTTTCATTAGAAGAAAATTAAACTTTCCAGAATCTCTAATATGACTTTTTAATAAAAAGAAATATAGAAAATTTAATAATACCAAAAAATATTTTTGAAATTTAAATAAAACTTACTTTACAATATTTTTTCTTTTATTGCTATTTGCTACAGAAATAATACAAATTTTGTTTTAAATTTTTCATTCTAATATTTATCATTATTATATTTATTTTGCTAATGGTACTGTTATATTTTATTTACATATAATTGCTTTTAAATTATATTACTGTATATTTAAAAAGATTTTTAGTATATAATTTTCTAAGTATTTAAAATATTAATAGATGTGCCTGCCAAAGTTCATATAAAATAGTAAAATGGATGATTGATGTAAAAAGATTAGTATTAAGAATGGCAATTTATCAATGTTTGGAAACCGGTTTAATACTTTGTCAGTTACTTTAAGTCAGTGGTGATATTCAGCGGGTTCGCACAGGTTCGGCTGAACCCGTTGTTAACATTTTCAAAGTTTTTCGAACCTTGTTAAACACACGTAACATTTCTCAGTGGTTTTGTTTCTTTTAAAAAATATATTAAAATATACGTATTATACTCTGTAACACTACTAAACTAGAGCCTTATACCACGTTTGTCTGGTACGACCTCCCTCGACCGTTTCAGTCGAGATTGAAACTGTCGAGGGAGGTCGTACCAAGGGACGTTCAATCGCGATCGACTCAAGAGAGTTCTTGAAACTAAATCCAGTCATAAGAGAGATCCCAC